CTACACATTGGAGAAAGTTCCTCTAGAAAGCAGTTTGGAGCAAACAACATTTTAAACATCTCTCTCCACTTACCATATACGGAGACCGACAGCACCTCCCCAAATTTAAGATTTTACTACTAATCCCCACAGCCCCTGCTATTTTACGAAGTCACAGAATATACCTGATTCTGGAAGTGATTTTGGGAAGTTGACAAGACTGGTCTCTGAAGCGTTCTGCAGTTCACGAAGCCGAGCCAGGTATTGCTGCTGTCCCAGTGCACCTTCCTCGCTTTCAAATGGCCTTTTCTGAGACAGTCCCTGCTTCTGAAAAGTCAATTTCAAACCACCTTCCTGTTAAATAAATCCCAGGGTTAGAAGAGTCTCTTCTGAAGCAGAAATGACTACTTCATAATCAGGATTCTCACATCAAATAGTTACTCCAGAAGAGTTGAGGAAGAATGAAAACATCACATTAGATCTTAAATTGAGTCCTGCTTCTCTTCCACGTAAAAAATGTGGAAATTTCATGGAACTACTTCTGTGATTATAGATTTTAAATTATTAATATCTTAACTGAAATATCGAGCCGCTGAACAGCTGCGTACCACCCTAATCTAGCCCTACACAAACGCCATATCCAATTACAGGAGAAAAGTGTCATGTTTTCACGTGCTACCAAAAAGTTTTACGTTGCACATATGAAAAAAGCAAGCTTCTAGCCTACACGTAAAACTGGGAAATTTACCTGCAACCCTTTAAAGGGCCATGAAATGTGAAGTGCTTGCTTGCATTTTAGCTTGCTGCTCAAACGTTCAAAAAGCCAAACACAACAGAAATACCTTTTATTATTAACCAGATTCTTAGAAACTGCAAAAAACAAGCTGCCTGAGGAAGCCATGTAACGGCAGACTTTGTCTGAAGAGGGAAATAATGATGATTCCCTCCAGTGGTTTACGCAAGTTAAAAAAAAGAAAAAACACTGAATGCCCAAAAGAAGCAGACCCAAATACCCACAAACAAGTGTGCGAAGGAAGTAAGAGTGAGAGCAGGCAGCCACTTGCAGGTAAAGCATGCCGCACACCGCAATCGCAATCAGGTCCTAGGGCAATAAAAAATAAACATACGTCATTGATTTTCACTGTAAACTCCTTTTCTCGTACATGCTTCTTCACCTTTGACATCTGTGGTGACTGATCATACTCTTCTTTAACACCTGCGCTAGGGGGTGTTGGTGCAGTGGGTTCGCTGTAGTCTGCAGCTGCACCCGGGCTATCCAGGAGTTTGGTTGTATAGAAAGATGCCACTGTATTGCTGTCATAGCTCCTTCTTGCCGAAGGCCATTTACCTTTCAACACTGTTTGACAAATACTATCAAGCCGGTTAATCATAACTCGATCCTAAAAAACAGAGAGAAAGTATTTTTAGAACAGTAATGCTCAACAACGCTGTACACGTTACACGCATGTATAATCTTCCATTTTAGAAACAAGGGAAACGTTAATCATTGGACATGGATGGAAAATTTTGTAAGTTCCTGGCTTTGTACACGTTCCCCGAGGAAGTCTGTGCAAGCCACCTCTGTACTTCATTTCACCACCTGCAAACAAGCATGCAGTCTCTCTCATCTCCAAGGGTCGGGGTCCTGCAAACGCTCAAGCACGTTATCGCACCAATTTTTAAAGGCAAGATAGAGTAACTACCAAAGAAGTGTTTGTAGGTCTGGCTTTGAATCACTCGAGGCAGGGACTGCTAGTTAGCTTCACACGGACAGAACCCGTGAGCAGCGTCATGCTCTATCTGGCAAACAGCATCTATAAAACTAAGCTAGAGACTTTTGTTCACATATCTCATTTTAGCTTGTGAACTCATATTATTCCTCCTTCACATTCTTCAGACACCAAGCACAAATTTGACTTCACACACCTGCACAATACCTGGATTTTGAGTCCCAAGAAACTCAGTTAAGTACACACATCGCATGCAGACTCTAAGAGACAATCACTCGTGCCTTTTCCACGGAGCGAGATTTTGAAATTCTGTTTTATAGTAAAACATCAGTACATGGGGTTTTTTTTTGTGATACAGCATACGTCTGACAATGCAATGAACATCCTAAAATTGCTTTAAAACTCTTTAGAAATCTAAACTTCAAAAAAATCTGTCGCAAAGTTAACATTATATAGGCTTTCCTATAATTAAAAAGAGTCATACCACTGAAACCCGTAAGCGTTACGTGGTGCCTGTGTACTGCTACACGTACTGAACAGGCATTTCAGCAATTCACAATTTCCGCTTCATCATCTTAGTGAGATAATGACTGAAAGCATAAGAAATCAGTCTGTGGCCTTCCAAACTTCCACAAATTTTTCTCTTTGACTACTCAAAAGCAGCTAAAAAAAGAGTATAACTCTGAAATGAAAAAAATTACCCTAGAGCTATGTCTGCCATATAAATTCAGATAAGACTAACAAACTTAAAAATATTCATTATTTCAAAGAAGGTGAATTCCCTGTCACTTAGGATTTCTCTTTTCAAAGTGTACATTAGAACTTCAACATAAGAAAGCACATGCTAAAATTTTTACCATGAAAGGCACATTAAATCCATGCTTCACCCAGCCTAAACTTTAACATGACTCAAGAAATTCATGAAGACTTTACTGTGTGGTTGAAGGAGCCCTACTACTACTACTACTAAGAAAGCTTTTCCAATTTTAAGTAATTTTTTGCTCTCTTTCACTGTAAAGTATTTTGGACTGCTCTTAACTATTCTCCTTACTGACTTAGATCATCCAAATACTTGATAATTCATCTCATCTCCATCTTATTTATGCTTCCTCTAAATTGCTTTTGTCAATGCAAACATTCTGTCATTTATAGATATAGCTATACCGACAACTTCAGCTCAAGTAATTTTTAGTTTTAACATATTTAATCGAATACTAATGCCACAGCCCACCTTCCCCTACACCTTTAGTTTTCCAAGAAACATTATAAACTTGCCTTTGGCCAGTAGGATGCAGCCAACATGTATCCACCCTGTAAGAGATAACTGGAGTTTGGTGTCCCATTGTTCATCTGGAAACTGTCTTGGGTTTCATCCTGTGTTGTACTCAGAGAAGCGACACTCTCTTCATCGTATGCTTTTATATGAGGGGTTCCTTCTGCTAAATAAAACCACCAATATAATTTCACATTGCAAAAGAACTGTATGAAAATACTCATTGTAATCTTGTAAGAGGCTCAGGTAAACAAAACACACAAAGCAATGTTCAGGGAAGTCCAAACACCAAGTTGAACAGAAGAATTTATTTGCCATATTTTTCAGCAAGGCTACTGATCTTCCAAGACTTTTTCAAGAGCTTAACATGTCAAACATTCAGCTACTTGAAAACAGATGTGCTTCAGAGTAATCTGATAGGCAGCCCTTACATATTTTTAACACTAGTATTTCATCTGCAAACCAACATGCTCCAAAGCATAATTTTAGACCTACTAGAGAGGTTGTCTCTCACCAGAATGTGGCAAGTCTACTGATGACACAACTTTTAAAAAAGCCCCATTTCATTTTCTGGATGGTGTGCTGGATGCACCACTTTCTTTCCACTGTTTTTAAAATGTGTGTTGGCATCATTTTAACTGTTTAAGCACAGAGGTTTTTTTGCTAATAACGTTCTAATGTCTTCTGACTTCCTTATACTTCTCTCCACATTCTTTTTTACTTTTGCTTCTATCCAGGCAATAATATAAATTTCACTATGACTAGAGGAAACTGTTTGAAACCGAAAAACAACAGCATCTGAAAAGTAAGGCAAGTACCACATCAGCACAAAGAATAAGGTTTTGAGGGACAATTCTATCGAAGTCAAACTTGTTCTTAACAATGACTCTATATTGAGTCACCTAGTATTAACATTATGTAGCTTAAGACATTTCAAACGTGAGAAGTAGGCCAACAGTTCCACAACTGTTGTACAACATACGAAACACAACCTGGATTTAGAAGTAGAAGCGCAGATGAAATTAAGAGGACTTTCCAACGTTTACCAGTCTTTACCAACAGCCACAAAAAGAAAGGCTGATGGATTTACGAGATTTTGCAATCTGAGGATAGCACAATTACATGCTTAAACAGACTGAGTTGGCAGAAAATAAGTCCAATATCTGTAGGCAAAGCAAATGTTATGGTATCTTCCATCTAGTGCTAAATATTACGCCATACAGGCCTTCTTTTTCTCACATTGTTTTGAAATTTTCATACAACTGTTTCCTCTGAAGATGGCCTTCTACCGCTGCAGACAGCGGCACTAAGTGTTTGGTCTAAGCAGCATTTGACTTCCTAGTGATCATTCCCCCAGAAAATTAACCCTATGGATTCCACCTGTCATTTCCCCAGACAAAAGGATCCATCTGATTAACATAATGCCTTTTGCCTCACTAATCAGAAAAAAAAATTAGCTTATTCACTCATGCAGTAATCCCATTGCCCAACTTCATTCTCTTCCCCTTACTATTACCATTTCTTATCACAGGGTAGAGAAATATCTTTTCATATTGTAACTCAGCTTGAATGTGACAAGGGTAGAGTACAGTTCATAGTCAATATCTAAAAAAAAATAAGGAATGATTGATCAGTTTATTAAACTTTAAGCCCCTTCACTAATCAGCGGTTTTTGCTTCTACTTTAAAACTTTCAAAAGGCTCTATGAGATCTTTGGTCCTATGCTATATAATCTCCTCAGTCTTTTCTAAGCAGTTTTGAAGCAAACATTTTAAATGCTTGAAAAGTTTTAGTACAAGTATACTGCTTGGTCATCTCCAACTTATAAGGAGAAAAAGCAGCTTCTACAACTCTCTAGCTTGGTTTAGAGGAAGTTTCCAGATTTCTTGAAAGGGCAATGAGGAAGCTACAAAGACAGGTGAGCAAGAGTGGGGGAAAAAAAAAGAAACAGCAGTAGGGAAGATACGCTCACACTGAACACTTGCAGAAAAGGTTAGCCGTTCAAGTCTTCTCCCAAAAGTGAGCCAAACGCATGCTAAGCTTGCTGAGGGAATCAGTCAATGACACCTAACTCACTGCTTCATCCAAGGCACTGGTAAGAAGCAAAGAAAACGCTACGTATCTGAAATTCTTCCAACTCACTTGAAGAATCAAGCAAAAACTTTCACTAAAGTTGACTTTTGTGGGATTTAATTTACTTATTTCTTTTAGAAATTTTCCCACTAAGAAAAAGCTTTTTCACTTTAAAAGTCATACCACAGAAATAAGACTATGTACATACCACGTTTTTGCGCCTCCTCTTCATCGCTATCACTTTCCTCAGACGAGGAGGAGGAGGAAGAGGAGGAAGAGGAGGATGAAGATGAGGAGGAGGAGGATGCTGAAGAACAAGATGAAGATGATGAAGAGCTAGAGCCTGATCGAGAGTGTGAACACGATGAGGATGATGAAGAGGATGAAGACGATGACCTGGAAGAACAGGATGATCTATCTGAGTCAGAGTCCGAGTCAGAGCTAGAATCGGATCCTCTTTTGCTGACTCTCTGTTTTTTGGAGGCTGGGTTTGGAGTTAGAGGCTCTGTCCTTGCTGCAACCATGCGCCTGTCTGTTTCTGCCTTCACACTAGGTTTGTGGTCTGTATTTTGTATTGATGTGCCATTTTTTGGACTCAAAGGTTCAGATTTCATTATTGTCTGGGTCTCCTCTGTAGACATAGATTCCTCTTCAGAAGACGGAGGGTCCTCTTTCAGATTTTCACTTTTAACTTTTGTATCCTCCAGAGCATTCACTTTAGCATCCGGCAATCTTGACTGAGGTGTAAGAGGAGAAGCAGATAATGCCATCTGATATTGATGCAGGAGTGGAGTAGAAGTCCTTGAGAGCGCCACTTTGTTCTGACTATAGGTCCTCTGGGCAGACATAAATGATAGTTCAGGATCACGAAGAATATGATAGTCTGTCCTGCTAACCCCATGTTTAGCAGCTCCAATAAGTAAATCCCTGTCGTGAGTCCCACACTCCCACCAGACAGGTAAGTCTGGGTTCGGCTGGCATAGCTTTAGTCGATCAAACAACTGTGGGTGTCGAAGAGCCTGTTCTCGCACCTTCCTTAGGAGCTCAATGCGATACAAAGTCCGAGAAGCACGCTCCTCTGTAATTGGTTGGATAAAAATGTTTGGGTCTACGAGCTCTGTATCAAAACAAAACAAAGATGAGAATTCAGCAAAAAACCCAAACTACTACAAATCAATACCAGAAGTAGATGGCTTTGACCACTTAATATCTCTGTCCCCGCTACAAACTTCCAATTTATATTTCATTTCAGATCTATCCTTTCCCTCTTCTCCCTCATTTCTAATTTGGCACACATGAAAGAAACTTCAAGATACATATTGAGAGCAGAAGGTAAAGATAAAACTTTAAAACACGTACACTCACCTTCTTTCGAGGGAAGACGACAGACTCTCCTGCACATTGACATAAACGCATATAAGTATTTCTCTAAGCTCTCATCAGTTTTCTTATGTAACCTAGCCATCGCTCTAAATTTGGTCCAATCAAACCGGCCCCTTTCAGGATCAAACACCACTCCAAATGTGGACACAACTCGGTAAAAGTCAGCCTCTTCTCTTCTGGTCCATCTTGATCAGCAAGAAAAAAATCAGAAACTTAGTAACTTTCTTCACTATTTCATGCAAGTAGCAATTATTACTTCTTAAAGAATATATAAAACCCCTTTGAATTTTTGTTATAATTATGTATGAAAACAATGAATATTTGTGCTCTGCACATACCTTTGCTGTCTTTCAATCTTAGCAGCCATCTTTGGATTCAGAGCAGCTTCTTCATATGGAGGCTGCATCATACTAGCCTGTATTGGGAATGCTGGCTGGATCTGCTGCGTTTGCCTATTTTTACTTGTTCGTTGGTAAGCTGTTATTAGGCGGCGAAGACGCGTTGTTAAGGCAGACTGAGTGGGCCAATAAATTTTGTCTCCCTCCATCATTTGCCCATCTTAAAACAAAGTTACACAAACAAATTATTGCTGGTGCCTACACTAACAACAAGCAATCTAAATATGACTAATAGCCAACAGTCAGTCTGAAATTTTTAAATTCCCCTAAGGCCAAGATTTAAAGTTTTATATATTTACCTCCATCTGCTATTACCAGATCACCTGGGGATGAAACATCATCCTGTAAAAAAAAAAAAAACAACAAAGTAAGCAAAATAAAAATGTAGCTCCTCCAGAGATTTAGTTAAAATGAGCATCTTGCAGACAATTTAAGATTATGACAAAGAACAACGGTAATATATTTTATATTTTGGGCAAATTGTCAAATAAGGCATAAAACAGAATTGTACACCAATTTTGTTCCCTTTTCCCTTCCCCCACTATGAAGATTTGGGGAAAACTTATATAAGCCTATCAGTTTAGAGGAATATTGAAAATATTAAATAATTTGCTCAAAAAAATTTTGAAATATTCTAAGTGTGTTAAAAGAAGATAAAAAATAGATGCCCACTATACCTCTATGTCATCTTTAAACATTGCTGGGGCTGGTTTATATTCTGGATCTTCTACATCCCTGTTGAAATTTCAAGACAAAAATTTTCAGCAATATTATAAGAAATCCTTACTCTTTTTTCAATTACACAGAACATTTAATTAGATTTATTCTGCTTAGTTTTTTATTTGAAAGACAGAAAATATTTCATGGCAGCTTTGGCTTTAACCCTGTCCTTTCTCCCCTCCTCCTCACTTGAAAGTCACAATCTCATTCAGTGAGGTCCTTTTTGAGTTGCCAGCCTTCTCACTGATACGTAAAAGCAGTTCTCCCTTTCAGCAGTGATACTCAAATTGATCTACTGGGGTCACTGGTTAGCTACACAAGGCTAGTATCAAGCTGACAGATCTGAAAACAAGTTAAAATAGGTCTGCAGTACTCAGCCTCAAGAGGCTTCCACACTTCAGCATCTAGGTAGCATTTCTGACCCAGCACTGTTATAACAACAACACACGGTACAATCACTGTAACAAGTTGCTACTTTTTTTCCCCTTAAAGGTGAAATCTCAAACTCTTTGGTTTTGTTAGACTACTCCTAATTCTGCTTCCCACTCTGTAGGAGTTAATTCAAAGTAGTGTTGTTCACATCAGTGCCATCAAACTAGCATATGTAAAAAAAAAAATTTAAGAGGAAAATAGAAGTACAGCATGTAAATTCAGTCCAGTTTATTTTAAGGCCTCAAAACATTCATGACTAGTTTGAAGCACTCCTACCCATCCATATAATCGTTTGCTCTCTGTTCAGCAGCAACTGCTTTTTCATCTGGTTTGCCAACCCTTTCCAAGAAGCACAGCGCTGGGTCTGCTCTGATAGTGTTGTACTTTTCATAACCTAAAAGGGGGGGGGAAAAAGGCACAAATTCAACTTTCCCAGGAAGCTACTAAAAAATGCAGGAGAATAAAGGGTTTATATCGAGTAGCAGAGAAGTATATAAACAGCCATCTGTATTACTCACCATGTTTAAAAACTCCAATTAAAAGGGATTTATCTGTTTCTGCATCCCACCACTCAGCAGGAACTTCAGAGTGATCTGGCTCAGGGACCCAGACATCAATTTCACTAAGGAGAGTCACCAACAGCACAAAGGTCAATAATGCTCAGAAGGAGACGTACATTTCTGTCTTTGCACGCTTAAACTTTGCTAACTTCTGGCAGTCTGTGCTTAGGAAGTTTTGCAAACCACAGACTATCTGCTTTTGTGTTTAACAGTATTAGATGGACTGTTCTTCCATAAGCTTCTATAAAAAGCTTTCTCAACCAATTTAAAGTTTCTATCTACCACAAGTTACTGCAGCAGCGAGATCGAGAACTTTCAAATGGAAAGGTTGCCATTAAATAATAATAAAATAAAAATCAATGGAAGACGAAGCACTTAACCAGAAGTGTGCACACCAGGGAATACCCGCCAATTAGCATATAAACTAGAATAATCTGTCTTTTACTCACTTTTTTAGTCTATTTAGTTTTAATAGTTTTATTTTACATAGCTAGACTAATAAATAGCAACTAAAGTTTCCTCATGTACAGTAGATGCAAACTGCTTAGTAAACAAAGAGCAAACAGAAGATTTTCTCACAGTTTAAGGATATAAGTATTTGGTCGTTCTAATTCTTATTTAGGTCTTGAAGGAATTCTGAATGTTCATTTGATAGTTTACATTTAAAATAAACAAGCAAAAAACCTCTGTATAGTTCACCTGGCATCAATTCCATCAAACACCTTTTGGAATTCATTACCAATGACTTCTTGTTTTAAATAATACAGCATTCTTACTCGAAGCAAGACCCTAAAACAAACAAACAAATAAAACAACAGATATTAGTACTCTAAAATCTTCCATCAATTTTTGTGACATTGCAAAGCTTTCCACTGGTTTTCCTAGAACCAATTATTTCCAAGAATAACTTGTCTTCAGTTGTAAGAGAAGATAACCTCCAATTCAGGAGGAATTTAAACAACTTCTTTATTGCAACCACTTTTACAAATCATTTCTTTGTAAAAATTCTCTCAAATCCTAGAAAAAGATCAGGGCCAGCAGAATACTCCTATCTTTCTTCATAAAATCCTATTAACAACAAACTGCCATTTCCCTTTTTCAATTTAGAAGATTCCCTTAGAACGACCGCAGCAGGCTGAGGAAAGAGCATCCTCCACACCGCCTTTTCGTTCCTCCTCCCTCTTGAATTTAGCACATGACACCAGCAGCTTCTCTATGCTTTATCTCGAGTCCAGCTACTACAGTTGTATGAAATTTGCAGGCAGAATTTAGCAGAAAGTTCTGCTACAGAAACCTGATTTAAAAACCGACTTAATCTAAAACAAGTTCATTTATGCCCATGAGTGAGTTTCAACAAGCAAGCAAGGAAGCTCAACTTCTCAGAAGCCTAGAAACCCTGCCAGGTAAAACGCAGAAGACAGAGACAATGACTTCAGTGCTTTCACTTTCTTTGCTAAGTGTTCTCTTTGCAAACTAACCATAAACTCTGAGCTTTATCTAACCAAACTTCGTCAACTCTTCAGTGCTTGGGGCGCTACCAGGCTCCCAAAATACATTAGGAGGACGTCTCTCTATGTAGGCACACAACATAAACATAATATTTAATTAGAAACGATCATAGAATTATTTAAATTCTGAGAGAGTTGTTTCACCTTCAGGTACTGCAATTCATTTGTCCTAATCAAACACATACAAGTATTTTAAAGTCATTTAAGACAATGAGGAATTAGAAGAAAAAAAGCATCTTTAAACAAAAACTGGAAAACATTCGCATTTCAACTACTGCTTACTTGTTACAGTGATGTTTTATGTGCTTTTTATATCCTTCATCTTGCAATAGATGTTCAGGATTATATTTTCGAAGCCATTCTGCTTTGTGTATATCAAAAGTGCTAGCCTGGGTCTTCACTTTCTTTCCTTTTCTTCCCCTAGGCACAGGGGCTGATAAGCCTATGTAATTTAAAATACAATACAGTGACAGCAACAGGTAGGTATAGATCCTCTGTGATATTTATAGTTATGATATCCTATATCAGCACTGTGACTTGCACTGCAGAAAAAATTCTAGTCTCACATCCTTTTTCTCTCCTTTGTCTCTTAGAGCACCTCTGGAGTATGTTTCACCAGCTAAGGGCAAAGCAGGAGAGGGGCAAAGAAGGGAGAGTGTTGCCACTTACCATGAAACAGAACAGGTTCGAACTGAACCAAAAGAAAGCTCACATACAGTATACCAATCCTTTAGGGTAAGCCATCAAAAAACAAAGCAAAGCAGAAAGGGCACTTCGCCCCCCCCCCCCCCCCCACCACCCGCTCTTTAGCGTTACTCACCCTTTCCGACACTTTCAGAGAGAATTTTCAGCTGTTTTTATCTCAGTATCACAAGCATACGCATGTGAAGCTATTTAGCTGCAGAAACAAATAAGAACTTACCAAGGTGATTCTGCAACTCTCGTGTTTGCCCATCTTCTGTTGGGGTAATGAGATCCCATATAAAACTTTTTATCTTCTCATCCCCTCTGTAGTGAACAAGACAATATGCTAACAGAGCTCGGCAAATTATCTCCACATCCTGTTCGTTCAGTTGTCTCTTGAAGCGACCGTGCGACAAAATCTCTCTCCATCGACCCCACCTGGTCCAAAGTGAAACACACATCAGCACTTGAAGGTGAAACGCTCAGGCAGCCTGTGGATTTATTTTACATAAAGGAGGTTCTCTGCAAGATTTTCAGTTTTCTACTTTTTTCCTTCTATTTAAGTAACTCAGTGGAAACGTGAAAGTAAGCTTTCAAACAAAACTCTGTCGGCTGCCTGTTTAAAAAACACTGATGATTGTTTTAAGCTTTTAAAACACAGTACTGACAGGTACTCATGCTGATGTACCAACTCAGTCATTTACCTTTTAAGGGGAGAGAGAAAGAAGATCTAAGATTATATTCACAAATCACCCTATTTGATTTTAACATGCTTAAATTAACTGGTTAGACTTTCAATTCCTATTTAAACCTCATGGAAGTGCAAAAGTTCTGCAATTATGAACACCAGACCCCTTACTGAGCCTTATTTACTTCCGGATTGTTGAGCCTGCCTGCAGCACTTACTGCAAACGTTGTTCTCTTCTGTAAAGAATTTACAGAGACTACTGTAGTGCCAGCGTTAAATGTGCACAATCTCCTTTGAAGAAAGATTTTCTCCTCTCTTCCTGAGCATTTTTTCAATTGCAAATTGTCTGAAAGACTTATATAGGGTGCACAATAAATTCATATGTTAAATAAATTTTATAGATATATACCAGGTTATTTCAAGTTTAGTCTAAAACCTAGTATGCTGACTGACCATACTATACATGCAGTCCATGTGAACATATTCCTCTTAAAAGACAAAAAGGTTGGGAATTTAGAAGGATAAAAGCATTACATGGATTTAAAACATCGTAAGCTTCCAAGAACAAAGTAGGACGTATACCATACCCATAGACCAGTAAGTTTTTTTCCACCCGAAAGCACTCTGTTCTTCCATATCCATTGGAGCGGTCACAAGGCCTGCGGAGTTTTGGTTTATCATCGCCCTCGCTCTCCACTTCAGACAACTCAGCCAGCTCATCTTTTGTAGCACTGAATGGCCGTGTTTGTTTCCTAATTCTTGGGGTATCTATAACCAGGCTGTTCTGCAAAATTTCAAATAAAACTTTGATCAAAGATAGCTGGTAAGTTTTTCTTAAATAGGTGGCTTCAGTTTAGATAGAAAGTGTTCTTACCACAGAAAACACATGTAAAGCAAGCGTAATATTTTGCTGAGTTTAAGGCAACAAAAACTGAGTTTCATACCATGATGCCAATATGTTATAATGTAATGCCAATATAATCAATACTGTATATCTCATTTATTTGCACTGAAAACTTGCACAGACTCCTCCATGACGTCCGTCAGTAAAGAGGGGCTATGAAAGCTGTTCAGAACTGACTGTACGGGAATTTCTTAAAGTACAGGATATATCTTTCAGTAAGGTAAAACTGCCATTATAACTCTCAGTCAGCTGTTTTGCAGATTCTAGCATAGGATTTACAGCCAGAGAAACAAAGCAATCCGAACAATTATACAATTCCAATCGTTTCTAGGTCTTAGACCAAACAAAACAAAAATGAAAAAACCCCCACAAGCAAACAAATAAAAAAAACCCCAAACACTTCTGGGATATTAGGGAGCTAAAAAATACTAAAGCAGTCTGTGGTTGACTACCCATGCACGGACTAACCAGCACAATTAAATATAAAGGAATAAAATAAAAAAATCCTAGTGTGATTCGTTTAGATGTTAATCAAAAAAAGCACCAAAAATCCTTCACTGTTATCCCAGAATTCAACAATAGACACATACTTAAAACAACATGCACCATAAAAGAGAGATACTTACTCTACCACTGATGGCTTCGATATCTATTTCTGCTTTTTTGGCCCATTTCTGCCAGAAGTTGGGATCATCTAACGAAATGTCAGTCCTGTTTCCAGATGCAACAAAACTAGCCTGCATTACAAAAAAAAAAATTAAATCTTACCAACATCATACATGAAAAGTTAGCACAGTCTGAACGCATGCTGCTAGCTAAGACTGCATAGTTTTATCCCATCATAATCTCCCAAGCAGCTGTTAAGCCTTTCGAAGCCTTTGTATAATGCAAAGTAACCCAGAAGTTCTCCTCCCCCTTAAATTATGTATCAGAAAAATCTAACGAACTTCTTTGCACCGTCAGGAGGGAAGAATATGAAGCTGTAAGATTCTTCTGCCTTTAGGTCTCAATCTATGCTACCTGAATGGAAGAAAACAGAATCCTCTGAAGAGGCTTATCAGCATACGGGGGTTTCATCACATGCAAAAGTACTCACTTGAGCGAAATTTCAAAGGAGTGTTTAAACTACCAATCAAAGCTTGGGAGTATGGAATAAGCTTAATTTCAGAAAACATTTTAAAAAAAACATGATGCATTGCTTTTGTGAAAAAAGTAAATAAACAAAATTCTAGCTCTTTTGTTAAAAAAAAAAAAAAGATGATGCTTCCTATTTCTTCATAAGCAGTCCATTTTCTACTTAACAAAAATCAGCAAGCTATAAAAAATCCTAAATAAATGTGTGTCTTATTTATAAATATTCACTTATATTCTTAAAAGTTTTCCTTGCGCTTTGCCTGTTTTTTTCAAATTGTCACAAGTGCATTAGTGAAAGATCCATGTTGCAGGCTTGATTATATTACTTGAGAAATTAGATGTTTTTTCATGTGTTTTTTTTTCTTTTCTTTTGGGTTTAAGTTTCCCATAATTTGTATTTGCTCATACTCATTTTTACAGACATTTTGGAAATAAAGGGGTTCAAATCTGTCTTTTCCTGTGTTTTTCCAAACTCCCATCACAGGTTTTTGGATGCTGTGATATTATTATTATCTCTTACTCATCACAAATTAAAAACAGATTTTGGCCAGTTTTATTCGGCACATGATCAATTATTCTGAAGACCTTTCATCCTTGCAATTTCTTTATTTCTCCTCCTATATTTTAGGAGCATTCTAATTTTGCTTTTCCAGTTCTTACCAAAAAAGTACAAGGTTCAACTCATATCCTAAATATAGGTTTTTTTAGAATAAATCTGACAATTTTTAATCTTATTAAATAATTATTAACTTATATTTTTCCCCTGTGCTTAATATACCTGACTAGACATATAAACAAAATAATGTTTTAATATTCTTGGTTACTGCAGTCCACTGTACCACAAACACATCAATCCTAGCCTTTCCAAAAGCAGCACACACCTCTCACTTGCTTTTGCTCAAGCATGTCCCTTGGGGTCTGGCATTTACTCAACGTGAATGTGCAAATCACAGACTTCGCCAGGCACACATGTCTATGTAAGATTTTATATACAAGACTACAAAAATACACCTAACAGACATAACTACTGTTTTGTTTCTTGTTAAACAAGAAGTAAGCGTTGTAACATTCTTCAACTAAATTTAAAGCTCTATACTGTCAAAGAACAACTTGCAGCTTCTGCACCTTGGCAAATGTGGAGCCCCTTCCTTCTGATTCAATTGTGATCGTTTTAGTACGACGCTGCAAAATTTGGTCAATGTCTTCCTCACAGAATTTAGAGCCTTCATCTTCTTCATCCATAATGGCACCATATGCCCCTCTTCGAAGTAAATCTTCTATTTCTTTCTTAGAGAGTTGTTGGATCTAAGCAAAACAGATTTAAAAAAAACACTTTAGGAAAAAAATCCTTGAAAGCCTTTTTCATTCTTTTTTCCTTTCTGCAACCTATCACTTTTAGTTTATAAACTTAAAATCCAGGTTATTAAAAACACGAAGAGAAAAGTCTAGTTGACTACTGAAATAATGTTATATGGTTACTGTGGTAACCATACCAATACTATGGTATTTTTTGCAAGTACCTGTCTTAGTCATGGCTATTATCAATACAATGATGAACATAAGTGTAAAAAAAATTACCTTTTAATACTACAAATACATCTGATCTTGTATTAAAGTAATACATTATATTGATTCAGGAAGATACAATAAGGCAAAGAAAAACTTTTCTCCCTGTGTAACTTGGAAATTATCTATCTTGGACCTTATAAGGTAAGAAATAATGAAAGTTTTATCAAAAACTTATCAGAAAACGTGTCCATATTTTGACAATTACGCCAACTAATATTAATCCATGTCAGAAGACATAACAGAGAAGCAAGCAACAGAAAAAATGGTAACTTCTGTACGTTAAAATAATTTCCACATGGAACAGTTACCCTTTTGCTTTTGTAAACAAGAAATACATACGCCACCAACGCTGTTTTCTCTTCCACTCATGCTCTGTAAGACAGCCTTATCCAGGCCCAGTTTCAGACTTGCTCTGTCAAACATCTCTCGCTCATACGAGTTACGAGTTATCAGTCTGTAGACCTTCACTGCTTTGTTCTGACCAATCCTGTGACAACGGGCTTGAGCCTTTGGAAAGAAGGGAGAATAGAGATTCAAATTTAGATTTTTGCCTAGGAACAAGATACGACTTTTCTAAGAAATTTGCTCTACTGTAGCGTAATCTTAAGCAATAGCATAAACTTGAAAGGAAGTCGATTCACACGTGGGATGATCCGTGTTGAATTGCTGCTGAATGGTATTTCTCTGACAAAAACACTGTAGAGAAAAGATACGCCATCCCACAATTTGTCACATCTCCAGACATAAATGCTGAAGAAGTTGTGACTTCAGAACGGATCCTACTCTCGTGTCTCATGCCTAAATTTGATTAATTCATTGTCTGAATTAATCAAATTCTACAAATCAGTCTACAAATGAATCCTTTTCTATATATTATTTATGTATCATTAAAAAATGTACTAATTTCAACCTCAATCTCTTATTTTTGGTTTTAACAAGCAATTAGAAATATCTTCATTTATATATTACTCTCTCATCTATTTGCATACAAGAATAATCATTTTCTTACATAAATCTATATGGTAACATTTTTCTTTTACGTTTTCTAGATTTGTATCGTAGTTGAGTCTTAGTGGTCAAGGATGGTAGTAGGAGCATATAACCGGTATAAAGTAAAAATACAGGTAATATAAAGTTTATGTAAACTAGGCTAAGAACCTACTGCATTCAGTATAACTATTTCTCCAAAAAAAAATTAAGATATAACAGGAGACTATAAACAAAAATACATTATTTTGGGCTTTTTGCTGCGATGTAGTTACCTCTGAACCAGATGATTTGTCCAAGAACGGCTGAGTTTCAATTTTTACTTCAGTCTGTTTTGTCCAACCTATTTTATATGCTAACTAGACCTTCCAATTTTCTGGTCAGTTTTCACAGTACCAACACCTAACTAAACCACATCTCAAAGTCGAAATTTCCTAAAACTAAGGGGAGGTTTCCCCTCTGCATTTCTTACACAAAGCAGCTCTAATTATATAGCTTTGTGTTTACTTCAGGCTTACATGATTAATCTGTAGCCCATCTCCTCTCTGCCCCCCGTTACCTTTTCTCAAGCACTTACACCTAGCTATTTCACTGCAGAAATAACTAACACACATAACTAATAAGATTTACTAGTTAATGGCCCTTATTCACTTGGGACAGTTTCTGAAGTCACTCCTATCTATAACTATGGAGTAACTGTAGCTTAACAAGGGACCAAATTCTTCTCTAGTTAAATAGTTTAATTGAACAGCCCTACTTCTTAAACTAAGCGAGTCGATATATGTAAAATCTGATCCCAGTGTTTCACGCTTCTTGAGGTCATCAAAATCTTAAGAATTTTATAAACTCACTGACTTCGTTGCGTTTAGTTGCAGTAGATTGTTGCATTTAAAGAGAAATCAATTTGAAAGAAAGTTGAAAAAAGATGGAATCTAGATGACTTCTACCTAGAAAGTATCCATCAATAAACATTAAACATGCACCTTAAAAAAAGCCCTGAACATGTCAAAACGATGCATGTTCAGAACAGAGACAATATTCAAAGTGACCAAATTTGTACCGACTAGGTTTGCCTGCCTGCTTAGGCCTCAATATTACTCAAAAAACAAGTTTACCTGCAGATCGTTTTGAGGATTCCAGTCAGAATCAAAAATTATACATGTATCTGCTGCTGTCAGATTAATGCCCAAGCCACCAGCTCTGGTGCAGAGAAGGAAGACAAACCGATCCGAATCGGGTTTGCTAAACCGGTCAATGGCAGCTTGTCTCAGATTCCCTCTTACTCGTCCATCAATTCGTTCGTATAAGTATCTGCAAATTGTCACGTATACACACAGCACACACACACACAAATCATTACATAATTATTCATAATTTAAAGAGAAATTACAGTAGGTCTCCTGCCTGCATAGTTATTCTTTACAATCGGTAAAAATGACATAAACTCTGATTTCTGCTCATCAGTGAGGAACATAACCCGAAACCAAGACAGAACTCTCATTCTGGGAGTACTAAAATACAGTAATGCCAGCAAGTCCTAACGCTGAAATTTTAAGGCAAATTCTTCTGAAAAGCAGAATTATTATTCTGCTTGATCAGCCTGATTATACATACCAGGAAAGACACATTACCATGGCATTTATCTATACACCACAAACTGAAGTGCAATGCGGACATTTACAAGCTTTTCCTGTGCTAGTCTCGGATCACGGCCTAGGCTCGCGGCAGCCTGGCAGCGTACTTCCACGTTGCACACCAGCCTGCCTGAACCTCCTACCGGCAAACTGAGCAACCACTACAGAGCATTATTTAGTGAGCTGTTGCTGGACAAACTCCATATTCTTTCTGTCAAGATCAAGAGAAATAGAACAAAAATGACTTCACAGTACCTCTAACACTGTCTTTAATCAAGGCTCAATGAACCTATGCTATCCTAAAGCAAATCTGGCAAAATTAGAAGAGTGAAGTTCAACTATCACTTCTTTGTTACCTTGGATAATTACAGAGACTCCTGTGAAACTTCTGAAATCAAAATAAATGCATCTGTCCTGCTTAAAAAAAGGAGCGAAATACTTTTCCACGCTCTAAAGGGAGTAAGATGCTGAAGGTATATTTACTAGGCAAAACGCTTCACAAACATTTTTCTTCTAGTCAGCCATAAAACGGCACAGCAGATAATCCACAGGACCCCAGGCATTTTGGCAGGCAGCCGTCTCCCAGAGTTGCGAGTGCTCTTGGGTACTAACTCTAATCATGTGTGCACTCCAACATTTCTAATCAGAGGGTAGCATAAAGCAAGTTTTAACTTCTGGGGATTTCAAGAGATTCTTCCTGTAGCAGTGACGTACCAGTCTAGACGTCACAACCTTATATAGACGGAGGAATATTTTCATATTGCATTACATATACTACTATGAAGTTAGAATCAGTCAGTGCATTAACATCCACACATACAAAATACAAAATGTTGAGCTCCCAGTTCAAATTCATAACTTCATGTAACAAAGAAAAAACAGTATAAAAGTTATATACAGTGATCATAAAAATGAGGTATTAATATAATCTAAAAATGACTTACAGTATACATTCCAGTATCTATTGCATGAAGGCACTACAGTTATTAGTGAGTGTTTTTTACGTTAACTCTGTATTACGGGACAGTTCATTGACAAGCATACGCTTTAAAACAGTATCTACAAGACGACAATTGAAATACTAAAACAATCAGAACCAAAACTTCTTATTTCTTTACAGGCTAACATAGCAACTACCGATCTTAACTGAGTCTAATGTTAGACTTTATATGCTAAGGCTTTAAGCATAGTATCTAGTCACATGCTTAAATAAGCACTCAGTGTCAGCAGTATAACCAAATGGTGCTATTACATGCTACAGCAAAAGCCAGTCTAAGGAACTGTTTTATGGCTGGCAATAAATAAATCTTGTTTCAGTTTTCCTGTAAAATTCAAAGCAGTAGTAATTTAGGCAAGACAGGAAGCGAAATTTTGCTTTTAAGAGTGGCCTAAATTACCTTACTGTAGCCACATGTTTATTTTTACATTAATATAGAAAATAAAGCTCCAGTTAATAAACACTATGTACCTATATTTTGTTGGGAGTAAGGAGCTACATATCCCATAGAAGTATCTGGTCCAAGTTCAATGGGATGTATATAAAGCATAGGTTATTTGCTTCTTGGAGTTTAGACAAACCATGCTCCGCTTGAACTTGCATGATTTCTGATAGGCAATGTGTAAACAGTACATATGCACAAGAATGTTTAAGGGAAGAAAGAATAAACTGAAGGCACATGGTTTACTCAGCAACGTTTCTTCAGCTGCTCTCTAAAGTTTTCCTTTTGTTGCTGGATAATTGATAACGTATCACAGAGCATAAGAAGTTACAAAGTAATTGGAACAACAACAAAACGTTATCTTATCTCTGGTATGCTGTAATCTTTAATCTTGCACTAAACATCTGAAAATATGCCCATTGAGACTAATATACTATGAAGATAAAATATACAATACCTTACCTTTTATGTATAAGGTAATCCTCCAAAATATCAAGACAGCGCACCATTTGAGAGAAGATAAGCACCTTGTGGCCCCCTGCTTTCATTTTTGGGAGAAGCTTATCAATAAGAACCAGTTTGCCAGCAGACTGGATCATTGCTTGTAGATGGAAGTCAGGAGCACTTGGGCTGTAAGTTTCTTTAAACTCTCCAAGGATTTTCTCTTCAGCACCTACCAAAGAATACATATCTGTATCTGTAGACATACGCACACAAATATCTTCATATATACACAAAATAAGTCTCAAAATAAATAGTTTGTTTGCAACTTTTTAAATGTGGGCAAGCATATGTCTTTCATCCATAAATTGTTTATTATTCAATTGTTTGACTGTCTACGTAAATCCAAACTTTGCCCTCTTCCGCTGTACTTACTAAATGGGTTCCACAGATAAATAAAAGCATAAGTAGCTAAAATAAAGGCCATGGGAGATGCACTTAATGACTTGTGACTGTGTCTGATTGTGACGGAATTGGGTGATGGTGACAAGCACAGGCGCACCCCCAAAATTCTGCGACATTGATGACTTGGTCAGGGTCAGGTTTGGTTTTTATCAAAGTCCACAATGCATTTAGAAATACTCCAGCTCTGCAATGCAAATTTAACAGATTTAATCATGTACCGTGGCTTTTTTTGACTTAGCATTCAAGAGCAGGACTCCGTGTTCAAGAAGTAGTTATATTAATCCCTATTATTGTCAAATATTATTATGAACAAGAAAATGATTTAACTAAAATTGAAAAACAACCCCTGAGGCATGGATAGTAGGCGTGCACACTGTTTTGAGACAACAGAATTGTCAGGAAGATAAGGCCATTGTACTCAAGCTAAAGGAAGTGTGAGTATAGCCATTTAACACGTGTCACAAATAACGCTGAAATAATATTGCTTTCAACTCAGATCTAGCTTTCGGTTGCTTATTTGAGGTGGAGGGAGAAAGAAGTACTAATTTAGTAAGAGTCAGTGCTTATACTCTACATATCCCCCATTAGCCATCGTTGGAGATAGACTTTAAATGCACCCAGAACTTTGTTCTAACAAGAACAGCTATTTCTATGCTCTTCGAAAACAAGACAGATATGCAATTGGGGTCAACAGGGAAGATTTATGATTTTAAGCAGAAGAACACAGAAAAATATCTACAATTAGTTAAATCTCCCAAAAATTACAAAACCAAGAATGTAACTTATTTTTAAAAATGTTGTTTAAAAAACAAAGAAAAATACTGCAAGCCCTTTTACTGCTGTGAGAGTTGAAATAGGATATGAGTCTTAATAGCAAGAAGCAGTATTTTCGAGAAGCAGTATTTTCAAAACCTTTTCTTAAGTCATGCTATGATTGAAACGATAGCAAAATTGTAAGCAATTTAAGATTTAAGAATTTATTCTCTTGCAAGTAGGAAAAAATATTCAAGTAAGTTATATATAAAGGAAAAGCAATGAACATTGACATAGATCATATTACTGTCTGCAAGAAGCATTAATTCTAGAAGTTAATTTTAGAAGATATTTTTCATACCATTTTTAAAGAGATATAACTTTTCCAAAGAGCAATCATCTCATGGAAGTTTTTGCTTTTCTAAATGTTCTGTGAAACTATATGAAATAAGAAGTTCACACTTCAAGCCTTATATAACATGCAACGGCCTCACAAGTTTGTTTTACATCTGTCAAAAAACGTTTCAGCCTAATTCAATACTTGGAAAGTCTGATCACAATGCAATATATTTCAAACAGAAGTTCTTACATACTTTAAAAAGAAGTACAAAAGTACATTAAAGAAGAGGTTAGTCTTTATTTATCATGCATTTACCTTTGATGAGATAAGGGTGATTACAACACTTTCTGAGTTCCATCATAGTATTAACTAGATTGGGTACATTTGCTTGCCCTGCTCCTTTGGATAAGAAAGCAAAATTCTTCTCCAAAATTGCGCGATAATATTTCTTCTGAATATTAGTTAGTTCTACTTCAATTATAGTTTCCTCCTTAGGAGCCAGCTTTTTTTCTACATCTTCCTTTAGTCGTCGGAGCATCATGGGTTTCAGGATGGCTTGCAGCTTCTGAACCTGAACAAACCACAACAATTAGCTGGAATATACGTAAAAGTAATAGCATGATGTAACTCAAAAGTTTTTAAATCCACATACTCCAAAAACAAAAAAGGAACATCTTTTGGGCATTTGTCAGCAAAGACCCTGGCCACAAAATCAGACCACCTTCAATTATTATTATTCTCGCTCTTACTTGACATATTCGCAACACAGACCCAAAAAAGTAAAAATAGTTTTTCAACATGGACTAAGATTCTGTAATTTATACTCTGATTTTAAATTTATCAGAGTATTTTTCCAAGTAAAAATCAAGCTCTAAATATATTTCTAATCCAAAAAGAAGAAATTTGAGAAATACTTGAGCATTGCAGTTTTTCTTCACAACATCCCAAAGATGACAGCACAAATGACTTGACTTGTTTAATAATCTGAAAAATGTTATCACGTTTTAAACTGTTTCCTACCATCTGCATGGATTAGAGAAATTAAATGCATGACAAAAGAACTTGTAAGTGACAGATGAGGGGGAAAAAAGGGCACTAGCGTTTAGTTGCCTAAGCTATTCAAAACAAAAATTACTCCTCCAGTAAGTCACTTCTAAATACTGGCACACAAAAGGAACTTTTTCTACACGTAGTACCTGTTCCTCTGTTTTAAGATCTCCAAATTCTTGCATAAATGTAGATTCAGC